ATCTAACAATTTGAAGGAGAGATGAGAACTTATTATTGTGCAAATAATGATACAAATTGTAACTTTTATAATACCAGTGTCACAGAAGACAAAGTCGAAAGTCAAAAGAAGATAAACAAATTGTCTTTTTTTTCACATACTTGTTAAATGTTTACGAAAGTATCAATTAAAAGAGATAATGTGATCAACTACAATAAAATTCATAAATTCATAACCGAATCACAATAGATAGAAAAAAACAATAACGGAATGTATATTAAATATAAATAATTAACAAGAAAGTTTTCAAGTGAAAATAGATGTAAACTTAGAGGCTGCTAAAGAAGTGTAAGAATTGAGCTAACAGAAATGGCAAGCAACGGTGGGAAGAACTGAAAGTTCGTTGCATAACACGAAAATTTAAGTGGAAAGAAAGAAAAATGTGATGGTAAAAACACTGAACAATTATGGGACGATTTAAAAATATAATAGTGCGGTTAATCACGCTCGCTTGGATGAAAAATCAAACTGTTAGGTGGAACGAAGAACGAGGAAACAAATTAATGTGGAAAGAATCTTGCAACAACAGAAAAGATGAAAGTCATGGCGGCTACGATAACAAATTAAAAATAATTATAAAATAAAGTTAAAAAAAAAAATAATTCTTTAGCCGTCTTTCTCTAATTTTATCAAGTAGTATTTTTTAGCAGCGTTTATTTCGTCAGGACCTTTTCGGAAATCAAATTACAATTATAAATTATAGAAAATTGGTAAATAATATATCTAAATAATACCACAGGAAGGAAAAGTTAATTGATTATTGACTTTTTTGTGAGAAAGAGAGAAACTTCTGAAGGTCTTATACAGTCCAACAATTCCATTTGATTGATTTTGTCTCCTCAAAACCGAGGAGATGTTTAATTAATTAATTAAGCTGCAATGGGGTAAAACGGATCGAATATTATTTTGGTCCTTACGGAAATTATTATTTTATTAGTATTAAATATAGAGGGCTACGACATTATTATATTCCAGTATTTTCGAAAACAATTGAAAAATAATGTTTAAAGAATAAAAATTAATTTATAAAATTTAAATGGCGTTGACTAAGCAAAATTTTAATCTGACGTCCTTACTGTATTGGTGAGAGGATGAGACAAATTTTAATTAGCGTTTTACCATCTACACATAAAATTTGTTTTTTTTTTTTAATACATACATAGAATTTTTTTTCTACAACAGGATAGTCGAACATGTTTTCAATTTCTTATTGGGAAAAGAAGACTGCGTATATTAAGAAAAAATGTACAAAATATAAGCCCCGCCCACCCACCCCTTCTCAATTCTGATGAATATTTTATTCATTGTTAGCTGGAAGGGCGGAGTTTAGTTGCAAAATCCTCATTTCTCTACAAGAAATTACCATAAAAAATATGTTTTTAAAAGGGCTGAATTTTGTAGAGAAATATTGATGTTACAAATAAACTCCACCCTTCTAAAATTAGTTCGTGATGACTAATGAGTTTTGGTAAAGTGAAGTTCAAGAGTATAAAAGTGTTTTAAAAATTGTTTATCGTCGTCTTTAAAGGAAAAATTAAGGTAATTTTTCGTCCATCCCGGAATAGGTGGGGCTAGTATTTGCAAAGATAAGACTGATTTTGGCAAATGATATACCCCTTAAGAAAATAGAGGGCGGGTGGGCGGGGCTTATATTTGCCAAGATAAGACTGATTTTGGCAAATGACATACCCTTTAAGAACATGGAGGGGGGGGTAGTATTTGCTAAGATAAGCCTGAACAATATCAAGAGTCGTCACTAGAATGAAGAAGGGGTATAGAAAATATTAAAGTGTTTTAAGTTGTAAGTACTAGCCCCACCTACCCCACTCTGTTTTCTTAGAGGGTATATCATTTTCCAGAATCAATCTCATCTTAGCAAATACAAGCCCCGCCCACCCACCCTCTATTTTCTTAGAGGATATTTCATTTGCCAAAATCAGTTTTATCTTAGCAAGTACAAGCCCCGCCCACAGCCCCCCTATTTCCTTAAAGGGTATAGCATTTGCCAAAATAATTGTTTTATTAACAAGTTCTAACGACTCTTTTAAGCATTCTTACGCAATAAAAACATTTTAAGTGGTTATTAGATGAGCAAATATTCGTGGCATTTTTGGCATTCTACAGAAACCGAACTAGTAAATTTCTTGTTATTTTTCTATAAATTGTTTTTTCTTAGCTCATCCAGGAATTTCTTGTTTTATTAATTTAGTTTCTGAATTTTTAAAATGTGGAAAATATTGCACAAGAAAGTTTTTGCAAAGTAATTGTGATAAAAATCAAGACGGATTCATAAACCACAAGTATACGAGTATATTATTTCGTAACATTTGGAAAGCCTTATTTACATAAAATGATGGAAGACGTCATGAAATTGTTGGTAGAGATAATTAGAAAAATTTTTAGCGTTTTACCATCTATACGAAATTCCTAACGTTCATTAAAAATAGACAGACGGAAACGGCAGACCTATTTTTAGGTATTCCAGAGAACATGAAACGTCGAGAAGACATGAAAGCACCTAATCGCCAGAGGGGGCCTACAACATTTCCTTAGCGTACGCTCGGGAAGTAAATAATATACATTTGACAAAAATAATTCTCGTAACTGTTGCTAGAGAAATAAAAAGTGGAATTCGGAACTGAACATATTCGTTCATTTATAAATTTGTAATAAACATATGTTTGTGTTTTTCTTAATTTCAGTTCTGTTCCCACACCTAAAACAAATTTGGTCTGTATTTCATTTCCTTTTGAAAATAGATTTAAAATAAAAAAAAAATCACAAAATCGAAATCGTAATGCAAAGGACAAAAAAAAGAAAGAACGAGAAAAGAACAAGACACAGAAAAGGAGAGAACGAGAAGATGAGAAGGACAAAAGGAAAAAGAGATGACAATAATGAACCCTCAGAAAAATCAGTAAATAAATTGAGGAATAAATAACTCATCACAATTGAGATCAGGGCGGGTGGGCGGGTCTTAATTTTTGTTTTTTTTTTTTAATATACAAGTTTTCTTTCAACAACAGGATAGTTAAATATATTGTCAGTTTTTGTTGGGAAAAGAAGACTTCGTATGTTAAGAAAAAATGGATCAAATATAAGCCCCGCCCACCCACCCCTTCTCAATTGTGATGAATGCTTTATTCATCGTGAGCTGAAGGGCGAAGTTTAGTTGCAAAATTCTCATTTTTCTACAAGAAATTACCATATGAAATATGTCTTGAAAAGGGTAGAATTTTCTAGATGAACAATATGTTACAATTATTAAATTCCGCCCCTCGTCTGATTAAGAATTAAAAACTCATCACAATTAAGATCAGGGCGGGTGGGTGGGGCTTAATTTTTTTTTTTTTTTCTTTATATACATAGTTTTTTTCAACAAATTTTTGCCGCTAAGTCAATCTATTATTCAATAATTTAGGACTGTACTCCTAATTAATGTTAGTCACATAAAATTACTTGTACTTTCTCGTTTTTCTCGAAAAACTGAAGAAATGAAAAACTGAAAAATCTAATAATCGAAAAATTAAAAATTGAAAACTCCTGAAATACTCAATATGTGACAAAAATTAAGGCGGATTCATAAAGCACCGTCATTAGTATATATGTATTATAAATTGGACTGTAAGTTTTTCCTACCAGAAATATGATAATCTCAAAGCAGCTTTTTTCATCATCACCATAAAGGAATAATTTGCCAATGAACAATGTCATTCAGAAATAAGGTAAACCAGAGAGGGTCTAAAATCGAACCCTGTGGCACTCCAGAATATACAGAAATAGGGTGATATTTAAAAACAATTACTTCAATAAACCCTGGCCTACTAGTTACTATGAAGCAACTAAATTGTGAGTGAAAAGTTAAAACCAAGTAGATCCAATTTTTGTAAACGCAATGTGTGATTAACACAGTGAAAAGCTATTTCAAAATCGATATAAACAACATTTACCTGCTTTTGACTGTCAGTTGCTTGGAAACTGGTTGATACGAAATAAATTAGTGATTGTTGACCTCTTGGTCACAAATCCATGGTGACATTTATTAATTAAGTGCTTAATACTAGCCTGTATTTTCTTAAGAATTAAAAAAAGTTCAAAAGACGAAGTTCGACAAGATTGATAAACAGGAAGGAGATGTAAACGAAAAAACAAGGTATCAAATATCTTGGATGTTGTTAGAGTGCTTGTTCTGACAAGAACATGTAAGATTCAGACTGACAATGCGAAAAAAACGTGAGAAGTGATATCTGTTTTGGAATTTATTGAAAACCTTCTAAAAAAAAATCAAGATAAAATCCAAAAAAAGAAGGTATATAAAAACCTGGAACAATATTTTACTAACACTGAGAACCAAACGAAGTTCATGGACGGATGGCAAAATGAATAAGAGACAAAAAAGTGGCGCCAATTTCTCCACGAAGATTAAAAACATCGGACTTCCTATAGCAAATCGCACCAGGAAGACTCGATTACATCAATATTTTTTCGGTAACGGTACCACAAAGCGGCTCTAATTGGTCAGCAGTCTAGCACAGTTGTGGGAATTTCAAAATTGACTTATAATCGGACGAAGCGGGGCGATTTCGAAATTTGGTCACTTTCTCTCACGCATAAAAGACAAAAAAGCGCATCGTCTATCCAGACAATGCTTGCAAAATAATGCCAATATCGATAATTAAATGACCGGCTAATTGAAAGGCGGAGAAGCCGTCAGTTCCCACGAATAACTTATTGTTGTGTAATTTACCACCGTATTATTAAATCACGAAAGTAAAAGTCGCCCTTTAAAAATGTTTATTTATTTTTGCACGATCGCGATCCAGCTCCGGATTTCCGGTTACAATGTTTGCGGAAGAAATTGCGCATCATATTTCGTGTCATTTTTAGGTCATTTCTGCATGTGTGCAATGAGAGAGAAAGTTCTGTCATCTACAAAATTCGCTCGATTTGTGTTTACATACCTCTGGTGTCCACAACGCTAGCGTAAAAATCCAAAAGAACCGCGTCGAACCCGGTAAATTTTTGACGGCCATTTCGAAAATGCTAAACCGGACGATGGACAAACAAATCACATGTTCAAAAACAGCCACCGTTTTACCACAGCACACTCAACACCATTCTCTTGTGTTAATTTAACTGGAATGAAAGTTAACAGAGCTGCTCGTCTATGCGAGCGTTGGGATCTCCGGAAGGTGGTTTTGATAACGTAGCGACCAGCGTGTGCGGTCCCCATCAAACCTGCTTTCGCCGCTTACTCACCTGTGTAACCGTTGACACAGAGTCAGAGTTCGAGGAAATTTTTTTCGCGAGAGGAAGGAGATGAGTCGGCTGACTTAAGTCACTTCGGTGGAATCGTCATTGCCGGGTAACTACCGGCGGACACCGTTGGGGGCAGCGCTGTTGTATCGACCGCCAACTTGTCGATTTCAGCACCGAAAGGCGCCACCATAGCCGCCCTCTAAAAGTCCGCACGCATTTCAGTCGGTTTCAGAAGCCCGTTTCAGTAAGAGAAAAGTCGCCGATTTCAGCACTCGAAGCGTACGTATTGAATAAAACCCCTTAAAAGTAGACTATTTTTCATACACTTGCGTTTAGCTAGTTGCATTTTCGTAGCCGCTTCCACTTTTTTCGTTGTTTTAAGTTATGTGAACATTCAACTAGTTAGGTTAAACGCACGTCTATGTGGATCAATAGAATGTGTCTTTCTTCGTCTTTGCGTGGGCGCTTTTTGTTCCTCCCGTATACGTTGACCCCGATCTTTCTACAATTGCATGTAGTGTCACTCTCTGAAAAAATGTGCTGTCTCGGGATTTTCATGTAGCGCACGTTCGTCCGTCGGACCTTTCTATGCAAATCGCGTGTAAAAAATGTAAATCGTTACGTACAAGTTTCGAGGGTTGAAAAAACCCATCGATTTCAACGAGCCGGTGATTTAAAACCTCCACACAAAAAACGCGAGCGTGCGGTTGGTTGCCTACTCATCTTAATCCCTTAACCGACATTTCTTTGATAACCACTAACACAACCCACTTTAAAAGTTTCACGTTCGATAAAACACACCCTAAAACTTTGATTAAAATCTTAAACGAATAACGGTAACGCCTTCCTATATACGAAAAAATTTATAGAGATTTCAGCCGCATTGTTGCAACCCCTATCGTAAACCCCGATCAATAAAAGCTTAATTCTGACAATAATTTGTAGACGGGTTACCCAAAGTTTAAAAAGTTTTCCCATGCCACCTACTCGGGAGCGCAGGTGTTCGTCTTTCCCTTTGAGGGAAGGCCAATATAGCAAATTTCAAGCATGTGTGACAGGAATAATAATAAAGCACTCTAATTGGATAGCGTTTGTCAAATTAAACCGAAATAGACATCGATAATGAAATTTCCCGGCGCATCCACCATCTGTAAATTGTAGGGTTCCTTTTGTTTCATTAGAATTACGTTCAGAATTTCAAGTACGGGAACCCACTTTACTGTCGGAATTGCCTGAAAATCGCTGAGTGAATTTTTTTGCGGAGTTGGACGGAAAGTTTAAACAACAAATTACGGCTTTCGGGTGTTCGGAATTCGTTCAGGCTGAAATGAGGATTGAAACGGCAGCAAGTTTAAACTTTAATTCCGTAATGACGAGGTGTTGTACATTTTAAATTTTACGGATTTTTATTTCCTCATGTTTGTCATATTTAGAGTCCTAGAGACATAGTCAACACTTTTTGTAAATCCTCCAAACTATATAGGGGAAAGTAGAATAATAATAAAGCTGACGTCACAAGTTTGAATGTGCGTGTTTGTAAGTAGCTAATTACAGGTTGTCGAAAACAACATCAACGATGTTTGTTTTCATGTTTATGTAAATAATTTTTCAAGAAGTTGCTTGATCCGTATTATGCTCGAAAAAAGATGTAGGTACAATTAGCTGGTCTCGAACAAGCCACCACTCGACTCTAATTGGTTGAACTTTGAAACATGCCAAGCAAAATCGAGACGATAACTTCATTAATTCCCTTGTTAACAAATACACCCAATAAGAAAAGCTAAAATTTGCTTTTCCTTGAACTTGCTGCTTAAAAGCATCTACATCTCAATTTTAATATCATTATAAACGTTATTACTAGTAAAAAAGGAATGAGATTTGGCGTCGACAAAGAATTGTATGTCTGTGCGATTCAGCCACTGATTTTCTGTCAGTTACACGGTCTTAGCTAGTTACGTCAAACTGTCAGTCAAACGTCACCAGCCCGATTTAATACTCACATATCGCGAAAGACGGACCTGAAAAGCAAAGGAGACGACTTTTTGGATTCCGCACCTCGTATTTATTAACAAGTCTCTGTTTCGCTGGTCTTGACAGTTTAATATGACAGATCTGACTTAATGCCGGAAATAACACCATAGTACATCCAGTTTTGTTTTTATGAGTTAGCGCGAATATTTTATTACATTATTTTTGTTGGGTTAGTTAGGATTTTATGGTGATAAATCGGTTTCATAACAGTAAATCAAATCCAGGCGCAATTATGGATATGGCGTCACAGTATTAATGGTTATTAGTATTTTATATAAATAAATAATTACAAATACGCCATTAATATTTATTAAATACGCTGAAGCTTCTGTTTGCACAAATTATGATGAGTGCGAGGTTATAAATGACGTAAAATACCCTATAATATTACCAATATTTACTAATTAATCTTAAATATAATTTTTTATTTGTAAAAATTACATTTTCTGCAGAGTAATACTGAGTGTTTTTTTTTTCCTTAACTTGTTTTGAACAATATTCGTCTAGACAAAAATGGTGACATATTGAAACGGGTCTTAAGATTTGAAATTTTGTGACTTCTATTGTTACATTTGCTTTATAAAAAAAAAAAATGTTGAGGGTTATTTCAACAGAACTTTGAGATTTTGGTTTTCTGATATCCTCTACAAAGTAAAAACCAGTGGTGTAAATAACGTTCCCGCAGCTTATTTTACTTGAATTTTTTCTTCAAGTTTCCACTGTCTTTGTTCCTTCATTTTTTCGAGAAGTTTAAATTTAATTTTTCAATTTTTCAACTTTTCAATTCAATTTCTAGATTTTGCAATTTTTCGATTTGAGTTTCTCGAGTTTTTTTCTCTTTAATTTTACGACATCTCTTCGAGTTTTCATTTATAAATTTTCCAATTTTCCGATTTTCCAACTTTTAGACGTTTCCATTGATTTTAAGTTTTTTATATAATATCTCTTGTTCTTTGCGGCAAAAATTGTTTAACTATGTATATAAAAAAGAAAAAACAAAGCTTAAGCCCCACCCACCCGCCCCGATGAGTTTTTCATTCCTAATTAGACGAAGGGCGGCGATTAATTGTAACATATTTTTTCTCTACAAAATTCTACTCTTTTAATAACATATTTCACATGGTAATGTCTTGTATAGAAATGAGTATTTTGCAACTAAACTCTGCCCTTCAGCTCACGATGAATAAAATATTCATCACAATTGAGAAGGGGTGGGTGGGCGCGGCTTAGAGTTGGTCTATTTTTTCTTAATATGCGAAGTCTTCTTTTCCCAACAAGAAAGTGACAATGCTTGACTTTCCTGTTGTTGAAAGAGAATTCTATATTAAAAAAAAAAAACAAAAACTCGATATGTTAAAAAAATAACACAAAAATTAAGCCCCACCCACCCGCCCGATCTTAATTATGATGAGTTTTTCATTTCTAATCAGATCGAAAGGCGGAGTTTAATTGAAACATCAATATTTCTCTAAAAAATTCTATCCTTTTAGTTTAGAAACATATTTCAGATGGTAATTTTTTGTAGAGAAATGAGGATTTTGTAACTAAATTCAGCCCTTCATCTCACAATGAATAAAGCATTGCAAATTGAGAAAGGGTGGGTGGGCGGGGCTTATATTTGGTCCATTCTTCCTTAACATACGAAGTCTTCTTTTCCCAACAAGAAACTGATAATGTATATGTTTAATTATCTCCTTGTTAAAAGAAAACTCGATATATTAAAGAAAAACATACAAACATTAAGCCCCACCCACCCGCCCGATCTTAATTATGATGAGTTTTTCATTTCTAATCAGACCGAAGGGCGGAGTTTAATTGAAACATCAATATTTTTCTAAAAAATTATATACTTTTAGAAACATATTTCATATGGTAATTTCTTGTGGAGAAATGAGTATTTTGCAACTAAACTCTGCCATTCAGCTCACGATGAATACAATATTCATCACAATTGAGAAGGGGTGGGTGGGCGGGGCTTAGAGTTGGTCCTTTTTTTTTGTTAATATGCGAAGTCTTCTTTTCCCAACAAGAAAGTGACAATGTTTAACTTTCCTCTTGTTGAAAGAGAATTCTATATTAAAAAAAACAAAAACTCGATATGTTAAAAAAATAACACAAAAATTAAACCCCACCCACCCGCCCGATCTTAATTATGATGAGTTTTTTCCCTAATCAATCGAAGGGCGGATTTTAATTGAAGCATCAGTTTTGTCTAAAAAATTATATAATTTTAGAAACATATTTCATATGGTAATTTTTTGTCGAAAAATGAGGATTTTGTAACCAAATTCCACCCTTCATCTCACGATGAATGAAGCATTCATCACAATTGAGAAGGGGTGGGTGGGCGGGGCTTATATTTGGTCCATTGTTCCTTAATATACGAAGTATTCTTTTCCCAACAAGAAACTGATAATATATATGTTTAACTATCCCGTTGTTAAAAGAAAACTCGATATATTTAAAAAAAAACACTAAATCTAAGACTACTTTTTTCGTACTGAAGGAGTCTTAAGATAAGCCTGGGTTCCCATTTTCAAAATGCACAATGTAAAACACAAAATTTAATAGAAAAATACTTAATTTGTTACTGTGACACGATTTTGAAAATCTTGAACTTTCTAAACTTTTTTCTTTCAGTAGAATAATGATTGGATGAAAATATGACTCCTTAATTTGCATAAATAATAATTTTTAAGTCCCCCATTTAATTCCCTTCCTTGTAATAATGTATTGTGGGTTGCAGCCACACAGACAGACATTGTCTTAGAGTACGGTTAGAAATATAATAAGTGAAAATGACTGCAACATTCTGTGTTAAGTTTTACGACCCTTCACCGCGTGCTTAACCGCAAACCCTAAT